ATAGGAGCTGATAACCGAGGAGAGGGAGATCGATCGACCATGGACGTCACAGCCGACCGCACACGGGTGGCGCCGGAGATCGAGAAGGACTTCGACGACGTCGCCATGGAGGGCGACATGGAGTCGGACCCCGCGCTGGCGCGCGAGCGGCAGCTGGAGCCCGTGCAGCCGTGGCAGGAGCAGCTGACGGTGCGGGGAATGGTGGCGGCGCTGTTGATCGGCTTCATCTACACCGTCATCGTGATGAAGATTGCCCTCACCACCGGGCTGGTGCCGACGCTCAACGTCTCCACCGCGCTGGTGGCCTTCCTCGCGCTCCGCGGCTAGACCCGCGGGCACGCCCGCCTCGGCATCTCGTCTCGCCCCTTCACCCGGCAGGAGAACACAGTCATCCAGGCTTGTGCCGATTCCTGCTACACCATCGCAAGTGCCGGTACGTCACGTCAGCCAGTACTACGCATAGCGCCATGCTCAAGTTTTTGTGCCAGTTCTTGGTGAATAGTTAACGATGATTTTGTGCGGGCGCTGCTGCTGCAGGCGGGTTCGGGTCGACCTTGCTGGGTCTCAACAAGAAGACGTACGAGCTTGCCGGGGACTCGCCGGGCAACGTGCCGGGGACTCGCCGGGCAACGTGCCGGGGAGCTACAAGGAGCCAGGCATTGGGTGGATGACGGGATTCCTCCTGGCTATCTGTTTTGGGGGGCTCCTCAGCCTTATTCCCCTCAGAAAGGTATTAGAAATTAATCCTCCTTTCACTCCTTCGTTCATCATGTAGTAGAGTACTAGTAAGTAGACTTGATCTGGGTGAACCTTAGGTTAATTAATTAGAGGGCAATTAATTTACCGGAGCCATATGATGGAGTAGGAAAAGCAATCGATGAAGATTCTAGAGTAACATGATACGTGAGGTATTTTGGTCTTCGTGCTGGACCGAGAACAAAATTTTGAAATGAAATGACCATGTGCGCCTATATAGTACGTCTTTGCCTACGACTTCGAACTTCCATGAAGGCGACACCAAGCTAGCATTTGACCAAAAATGTATGAACCAAATTCGGTCACCAGGACCGCACCTCCGAGTTCCCACTGCGCTTTCAAAGAAATAATGGATGAGTCTGTCTAGGTCTCAGTCGACTTAGACTTCACAAAGTCTAAGTCGGCTGACATCATCAGTTTCATCCATTCATTGCTTGTTGGTTGTGAAGCCAGCCCATGTCCTCCTCCCTTGTTGCTTTTTGGGCTGGCAATGTCTTCGTGCGTACTGGAGCAGCGTTGGGCCAGCAGCTGCTGCTCATCTCGGTGGTGCAACAGCCGGGATATTAGCTGCTGTAGGTGCCATTTCTCAAAAACAAAAAAAAGCTGATGTAGGTGCCTCAAAAAAACCTGCTGTAGGTACCCTCAAAATGGAAAATTGTTGTACGCACAAATTTCTTAACGGTTTCTATCAGTTTTTTTGGTTTTTATTTTTCATTTTTACTTACATTTTACTATTATATTTATTAGCTGGGCTATAAATTTGTTTTTTCACACATCTAAAAAAGGTACCACGAATCGTTTGCATCATGTACACGCATACGCTCCTGCATCAAAAACATACGCCTGCATCATGTACATGCATGCACGGTCGATCTCCAAAAAAAGCAAATCGCTATCCCATGTCATCATCGAAGGCATGCAATTGAAGTCGAGGGCGACACTTGCAGTTGCAACCATGTTGGAGACATGCAATTGCATTTGAGGGTGACACTTGCGGTTGCATGCCTAGTGTTG